TTGTGCTCACATCAATAGGGCAACCTGCCTAAATTAAATAAAGTTGCTTTGTATAAAATGAAAAAAAAAAGCGAAAAAAAAGTGAATTTAGAAAAATTTAATAATACGGCGTGACAATTTATTAGTTATAGGCGCAAAGCTGTAGAACTGCACCTAATAAATAACGCAAGCGGGCCCAGATAAAGTTCGATGCATTTCGATATCACGACATGCACAGATACGAGCTATAAAGCGGCGGAAGATACAACAGCACACGCCCAATGCAGTCGGGCTGTTTGCATGCACTGCACTGCATGTATGTATTGTGTGAGTGTGTGTGCATGCAGTTAACATAAATGCGAGGAAAGTGATTGCAACTGCTGGAGAGTTGCGTGCAATTCTAAACTTTTCATTGTGTTGTGGAGAAAATTGCTGTTGACAAATTAAGTAACATAATTTTAGCTTTTAGAAAAGCGTAGGTGATAAGAGACAAAAGCAGGTGCCTTTGTTAGTAATTTAATTTTTTTCAAATAAAGTGCAATGATTGTGAGCAATTAACCTTAAGTTATACGGAGAGCATATTTTTCTTATAGAATGTATTTGGTAGATAATTGACAGATAATTAAGCAATACAAAGGATCAGGGTTGTTCGCAGAGCTTTGGAACACTAGAAACCAGTAACGCGTTTATTCTAAACTGTCTGCTTGTCATGTTAGAATTATTGCTACTACACTATGAATCTTTTGACTTTAATGTTATATCTAATGAAATAAATCTCAATCCTCAACACTACTGAAAGCCAGTTACACGTTTATTCTAAACTATTTACTTGTCATATAAATGTTATTAGAAGTTCGCTTTATGAATCTTTTGACTTCAATAATATATCAATATAATAAATTAACTAATCTTTCTGATAATGTGATATTGTTAGACAGAGACCGTCTCTAAAATTATATGACTTTGACTAATCTTTCTAAAAACCTGATATTGATAGACCGACACTGTCTCTTTATCAAAACTACATGGCTTTGACTAATCTTTCTAAGAATCTGGTATCTATAGACAGAGATCATGTCTCTAACAAAATTACACAGCTTTGGCTATTCCTTCTAATAATCTGATATTGATGGACAGAGATCGTCTTTTTATTAAAATTACATAGCTTTGACTTATTCTTTTAAAAATCTGATACTCATAGACAAAGATCGCGTCTCTATCAAAATTACATGGCTTTGACTAATCTTTCTAAGAATCTGATACTCATAGACAAAGATAGTGTCTTTATCAAAATTACATGCTTTTGACTAATCTTTCTAAGAATCTGATACTCATTGATAGGGACAGAGACCGTCTCTTTGTCAAAATTAGATGACTATGACTTTGTTTATAGCATTTCCTTCCTCTCTAAATATAATTAAAACAATTTATTTAATATTTTCACAAACATTTGTTTTTTGAAACAAATGTTTTATTCACAAAAATTTTATTTAGTAATAATATTTTCATATATATATATATATATATATATATATATATTTATGTATAAATTAATTTACAAAATAAAAATAAATAACAATTTTGGATTTCTTTGCTTAGCTTTTACATAATACACAATACATAGTACGAGCATTTCGTCACATTTTCATATATTATTAGTGAGTTTATCTCAGATTTTCATACTACAGCAAAATTATTTTTTTATCTAGTAAATATGTAAAATATTTATTATTTAGTAAATTTGCTAAAGTAATTAAGCAGTTTCATCTTGAAATATTTGTTCTTATTGTGTTAGAATTTAATAATTTTTGCAGTATAATTTTAATAACAAATTTTTTTTCTCTTAAGTAAAAAATATTTTCCAAAAAAAAACTATCTTTAAACAATATACAAAAGTATTCATTGTACAAAAAATTTTTTTTTATATATTAAAATTTAAAACAATTAAATTCCTTATGGAAAGAAAAAAATTAGACGTTTTAAATGCTAAAATTTATCATATCATCAGTTTCACGTAGTTCAGTTGTAAGTATGTACGAGTATGTAAAGTTATATTATATGAGAGTTATTTAATTTTATTAGATACTTTTATTTTTATTTTTATCTATTTTAAAGTTAATATTTATGATAAATTTCACTTGAGTACATAAATAGTTTCTTATTATGTATGCATGGGTATATGTAATTCGAAGTGTCTGACTGCATTTAGTAACTTCACTTTTAATCTTTATTAGTCTCTAAATATTTCTTATATACACATACATATATCCAGACATACATACATACAGTTTTATATATATAAAAAGAGTTCGTTTCATTAATATCTATTTAGTTAATTTACATTTACAAGTTCGATTGGTTTATGTATATTTATGTATGAGGTTACCCGTATGTTCGACATTTAAATGTAAGTTACTGTATCTTTTATGAGGTCGAAATATATAGACGTTAATATATTTCGCTTAAAATGTATAAAAAAAAGTTTGTAAGTTTTACATTTATGCATTTAGACAATTGTTTAATTTTTATTTTTTTTTTTTTTATGAGAAAATATTTATTTATTTTTATAATCTTTGTGTATTTTGTTAAATTTTTTTTTTGTTTTTGTATAGGAATAAAAGCTTTGTTTTGTTTTTTATGAGTTTCGTTTATGAGTTTCAGTTTGTTGCATCTGAGTAACTGTAATATGGAGCTGTGACCATTAAAATTAACTTCAGTTTAATGTGATACTAAAGTTTGAGGTATCAGATGTGGGTCAATCAAATTTCATGGAGGTCTATGGTATGAAAGCTCATTCTTATTATACAAATAAGAATCTTTCTTAACACAACTACAACAACGAATATATAGAACATTTAGATATTGAAATTAAATAAAAATATCTAATATTGTCATTTAGATACAAAAGTTCTGATTAGAAAATATCTTAAAAAATCAATTATACTGTTTTTTACATCAAGCATAATGTGTGGTCTTTAAAACTTGGATCAAATTTACAGACTGCTCAGTAGAAGGAATGTATATGGCTAACACTAACATATCAATATTGTATTGATTCAAAGACCTTAAAAATATGTTGTGTATAATATATGTGATTATACATACAATAATACTTGAATTCTTATTGAATGAAAAAGGACTACCATTATAGTAAAAGCCTATTTTTATTTTTATTTGTAATAATTATAGAAGGGAGAGAATCTCAAAACATAGTGTGGCTCTGCGCTTATGTATAGATCTAATGTACCACCTGTTAACTTTAAAACGTTTTTAATTTATTAATGAAACGGATTAGGTCATTTATAAATCAAGTGTTTATTATAATACACAAGAGTGAGAAGGCGAAACCTTAAACGCAGTAACTATAATGGCAATGATGTGCTATACATATATAAGCGGCATTATTATTAGCTTCATTATATAAAAATATTTCCTATATAATATAAAGCAATAAACCTATATGTAATATATAGATATAGAGTCTTGATAAGACTAGTTATATTAAATATTGTTGTTAATACGTTAATTATATAGAGCACAAAGGAGAGTAATGGAATATGTATCTGAGAGAGAAGGTAGGTGCTCACATTACATCCGAAATGAGTTGTTTATAATAATAATTTAATAATTAATTAAAATATCAAATAATTATATTAATAACTAAAATGTTCATAGTATATTAAGCAGGAATTAATATCAGTAGGTAAGTGCTTCTATTGTGTCAGTTACGACATTATCTCAGGTATAGAAAACATCCTTAGAGAAAATATGTGTTAATATTATACCAGATACGAGTTTAAATCGAGGTGCTCATAATATACCAGATACCAGTTAATACTTGATTTAGTAAATGTTGATTAACAAACAAATTCTTCACGTATCTAAAAGAAAGGAAACTCGTTTTTAGAGAAGTAGTAAATTCTATATTTTTACTTAAATAATGATACGAGTATTATTGTCTCTGGTGTCTGGTGTCAAGTGATTGACTGCAATCTAAAATATTTTAAGTTAAAAACAGTATTTCAATATTTTTTGAATAAATTTGTGACTTATCCTTTGAAATCCTTTAATAGGTGCTATAGGGTATTTATTGTAGATATATTTAAATACTATAATTAGATAGCAGAGAAACAATTTGAGTTACTTAAGCTGCAAAATATGTCTTATTGGATGTTCCAATTTAGTGGTTAAATAAAATTTTACATTATAATGAAAACAAACTGAATTGGTTATATGTTATATGGTTGTAAAGGAAATGATTTTACTATAAGAAAGGTTTGAATAAGAAAGGTCTAATGTAAGCGTAACTATTTATCAAAGATTTATAATTAACAGCTGTTCATAAATTAAATTCTCTTTACCACAAAAAACAGGTTTCTTAATACCTTAAGCCTTTAACGTCCATATAAAGTTACTCATTTGTTCATTTCAACCAAAATGTGAGGAATACATATACACACATACCTCTCACTTTCTGGTCATACTGTTTATATATCGGGTTGAACTGTTGTCTTGTTTTTTTTTTGTTTTGGCTGCACACAACTTCTCTCTGACTGCTTTTGATCACATATATATATTTGACTGTCCATTAATTTTAAAAGTCTTAATTTACTGTTTGTTTATATAATTTGACTATAGTAATTTTGTCTCTGTGTTTCTCAAACTTTTTGCAGATTTTAGAATTACTTAACGTATCTTTTTTGTCCTTTCAAATTGCAAATAGTTTGTCTGTTGTGATTAGTCAGTCCGTTTTTAGTATATATCTTTCAATTAGTTATTATAATAAAATTAATTTATACTAAAGAGTTAATTACTTGTGTTGTTTTTTATATTTCGAATAATTTTTTAAATTTATGCTTAAATAATTTATACACATTTCTATTTACAATATATAACAAAAGCATATATAGTATACACAAATTTAGCATATTATATATATATAGATTACAATTATTAAGTAGTACTTACACATAATAAATGCATAAATAGATTTTAATACACACAAATACTTATATATGCCTTCAATCGTAGCAGTTAGAATACATACATATTTAATTATATACCAGATGAGGAAAATTCAATTACGTACGTCCTATACTATTCACTGGGTTTAAGTAGTTTGTCTCTCAGTTGCAGCTGTGCTGAGTGAGCAACAGCCAATTTTATATCTTTTTTATGTATTTTTTTTTTTTCTATATATTATATTTTTATAAATAATTTAAATTTATGCGATTTTATTAAATAGAGGAACCAGTCCTTTTTCTCTTCATACATACATGCTACATTGTTTCCAATGTATGTCAATATTTTTAATAATAGATTTACTAGCACTACATTTACACTAAATATGCCTGCACGTGTTGTCCTTGCTGTTGTCCTGTCAAGGCTGTTGTTGGCGCTGCAACTGCGTTTGCGGTTAATGTGCCACTGTGATCGGTGCGTTGTTTTTGATTTTGTTGCGGTCGCCATGTCTGCGAATGCTGCTGTTGCTGTTGGTGTTGCTGTTGGTGTTGCTGCAGCAGTTGTTGCTGGTGCATGCGTTGTATGCTGTTGCCATTACCGTTACCAACGTTTACTGGTGGTGATGGCGGTGGCATCATTAGCATTTGTTCGTTCTCCAGCGTGGAGTAATCGGAATCAATGCTGGAGTAGATGTGTTCAGATGGCGGTCGGCCTCCCACATAAGATTGGTTAGCGCCACCAGTGCTATTATGATAATACTGTGCATTACCCACTTCGACTGCACTGTTTCGATGCGCTGCTGCATTTGGATGTAAGTGGGTGGCTGCAATGGGATGATGTAGTGTAGCATGTTCAACACCGCGTCGTTGAGGTCGTGGACTTGGTGTGGCTGTGGTTGCGGAAGAGTAATTTTGTTCACCTTCAGCACCCTCTTGGCAGTAAGCTGGTGGTGGCGCTTGGCGGTATAGTATGCCAGGACTAGCTGGTTGCTTGATGCGTTCATGGTTGTGATCGAGTGTGTAATTATTGCCTCGATATGTGGGATAATCAACCGGCAGTGCATAGCGTAATTTTTCCCAGAAATGTCTGTCCGTGCGACGTATACGATGCACAGCAGATGTTTTTAAATATGGCAACAATTCAATATCACTTTCAGCTTCAAATAATACTTCAGGCTCTTCAATAATAACTAGCTTTTGTGGTCGTCCACGTAATGCATCATGCACGGCACGCCGTAGTTCACAACGCGACCATTCTGTTTGCAGAAAATTGCGCGATAACAAGATGACAATGCGCCGTGATACACGTGATGCCTCAAGCACTTGATAATGTGTTGCATCGTGCGCCAAATCTCGATGCTGTAGGCAAACGCGCAAAGGTGGACGACCTGTTTCAAGTTCGGCTACCAAATATTGCCCCACAAACTCTGAGTCTTTAGCTGAATGCAGCAGCACTGCATCATATAGTTTTTCGGATTCCTCACAACGTGGCCCAAAGACGCGCACACCATAATGGGCAAACAACCAAATACGTAAAGATTCACGAAACACAAATATGACAATAGCTACAACGAGCAGAAATACCAATGCCAGAGCTGCTGCTAGCAATGGTATGTATGATTTGGGTATGCCATTCTGTAGCACGGAGCCGCCTGCATAGTAATCAGTGCACGCTGCTGTGGTATTAAAATCGATTTCACGTTTTTGTGGTTCAGCGCCTTTTAGCTGCTGCTCGGCGCTGCCAACATCCATGCAATATATATCCTGTGAGTCCTGCACAATCAAGGCATTGTCAGCAACATAAGTTGTCAGCTCGTGTAGGAATTTGCAGCGACAGCTCCAATGGTTGCGGCCCAAGCCTAAAACGCGAAGTTGTTTAAATTGTGGTAGTTGCAACTGCCAAATGGGCAACGTCACTAAGCGATTGCCATCAATTCGCAGCACTTCCAGCGAGATAAGCGGTGCCAGCGTTGCATTCTCAATCGACGTCAACAGGTTGTTCTGTAAATAGAGTTCGCGCAAAGCCGACAAATGCTCAAACTCATAACCGTGCAGAGTTTGCAGGCGATTATCTGCCAGGTGCAGCATTTGCAGTGTGACCAAACTAGCGAATGTGCGATTCTGTATGCTGACTACCTGACTGCCATTTACGTAAAGTGACTTCAAATTTTTGCGACCAATGAAGGCATGATTTTTCAGCACGGGAAAATTATTGCCGTCTAAGTACACAATGCTAGAGTCCATAGGCACACGACGTGGCAGCTCAGTGGTTTGCTGATTACCACAGTCAACGACATTTGTTGACCATATTTGGTCATGGTAACAAGTGCAATTGTTGGGGCACGTCATTTCACAATCGCATGCATCAAAGTCGCAGCAGTGGCACAGCGCAAAACAATGTGATTCATAGCGGCACAAAAAGTCTTGCGGCTTGAGACTGGTTAGCGAACGAACTGGAGCGCCCCGTGCATGTGGCATAACGCATTCAATATTTGGCAAGTCCATAACTCGTGGATGTTGACGTGTTGTGACATTATTAATGCGCTGCAGCCAGTCCATGGTGCAGTCACACTCGAACGGATTACCGCCGAGATAAAATTCAGGTAATGGCTTTGTGGGTGGCACTGGCGCAACGCGTAATTGCTGCAATTGCAGCTTCGACATCGCATTTGCATATAAATCAACACGCGCCAAATTCACCTTATCAACGAAAGCATTCGGATGCACTGTGCTGATGTGATTGTTGTTAATGAACAGCAATTCGATGGTGTTCGGTATGGACATGGCACCAATTTCAGTCAAACGATTGTGACTAGCATCGAGGGTTTTGACGCGTATTTCCTCCTGCAGTTTGTAGTAATTACCCAGTACTTCAATGTAGTTGCCATGAATATCGAGCCACTTTAAATTAGATGGTATGAAGGCGTAATCAAACCAGACGAGATGATTTTCTGATAAATTCAGCCAAAGCAGCGAAACGAGTGTAGCGAACACACCATTTATGTCTGAGAGAAAATTGCGATCCAGGCGTATGGCTTCTAGTTCGAAATTTTTGTCAAAGGAGCCACGTTCAATGCTTTGTATGCGATTTTTGGCCAAATTTAAGACACTTAAGCGTGGCAAGTCTGCAAACATGCTTTTTGTTATATTGCCAATCTGGTTGTCAATCAGGCGCAAACCAGTTAATTGATGCAAATTTTTGAAGCTTTGATTGTCAAATGTACGTATTTGATTCTCACCTAGATCGAGAGTGCGTAACATGGATAAGTCCTGCAGAGCACGTGGTACCTCATTCAGTTGATTTGAACTCAAGTCCAGCTCCTTCAAATCAGAGCAATTTTTGAAAACATTCGACTCGATGACACTTATCAGATTATTATTCAGTGTCAACTTGGAGAGCACATATAAGCCATTGAACAGTTTGTCATCCAATGTATGCAAACGATTTTCTGCTAAATTCAATGTATGCAGATTGTAGAGTGGCAAGAATGCATTGTCCTCAATGTGGCCAATTGAGTTGTTACGCAAATTAAGTATTTGCAGGAAGTACAGCTCCTTAAAGGTGCGATAATCGATGCGTGTTAATGCGTTGTGTGCCAAGTTTAATACAATCAAGCGTATCAAGCCAGCAAAAGTAGTGTTGTCGATATGGTTTGAAGTTAACTGATTGCCAGATAAATCGACTACCAGCAACTGTTCAAGACGATGAAACAGGCCCTTGGGCAGCTCATATAAATCGTTGTGCTGCAAGTGAATTTCACGCAACTCCTTTGAACCGGCAAATAAACCCTCTGGCAAGGTCTCCAAATGATTGAAACTCAAATTAACAATACGCAACGAACTCAGCCCAGCCAATGCTTCGCCAGATAACTCCGATATATTGTTGTGTTGCAAATTTAAATGTTGCAGACGACGCAAACGTGAAATGCCCCAGCTTTCAGTGATAGAGCGCAAATCATTGAAACTAGCATCAAACACTTGCAACTCACTGCCACCATTGCAGTTCATGTCAGCAAAGCCCAAATTCTCAGCCACTCGTATACGATTGTGCGTCAAATTTAGTGTTTGCAAATTGCCTACAGGGCACAGAAATCCAGCAGGTAAGGCGCGCAGATTGTTATCACCCAGATCCAGCTCAGTCAATTGCTTCAAACCTATCAATGAGTCTGGAAACAGCTCTAATGTTTTGCTCGGACCCCAATCAGCATTGCGTGTATTCACTGCTAACGTTTTTACAGCGCTCAGTCCTTCAAATGCGTTATTGGGCAGTTGCAACAATTTGCATGACTCCATACGCAGTGCATCCAGCGTCTGCAAGCGCGCGAAAGCTGCTTGCGGTAATTGCGATTCGAATGAATACAAATCGCTGCATTTTATCAACAATTGACTTGTGCCTTCGGCACCTTGTAAATCCAAGCCACTACGTTCAATGGTACGCAAATCACAACGCACTGAACTAGTGCCATTATACTGCCAGGAACATTGATTTATTGATGCGGACGTTGAAGCCAGTGCTGAGGCAGAAGATAACGTTGCCGTTGATGCTGGCGATGCTAATGATAGTGTGTCAACTGCTGAAGATGGCAATGCAGATGCAGCGGAAGTAACAGCTACTGCTGAGTGTGCTGGTGATATGCTTGTGGCTGCTACGACCATAAATCCACAAATTGCATTTAAGGCCAACAGCAGAGCGACTAGTCGAGCAGCATAGAACTCCCCAAAATGCCAGATTTTCCACATTTTTGCTGCTGCAAATTTAGATACCCAATTTCAAAAATTTTAACTAATAATTATTTGAGTTATGCGTTTGGGCAGTTCGTTTTCACTTTATATGAGTTATGTACATTTTATTTTGTTTACATTTGAACACTTAAATTTTTTTTAAATATTTTTTGTATATTATTTAATTTATTATTAATTTAAAATAATTTCGAATTTGCTTTGGTCTTGCACATAAGTACAATTTTATTTCTATTTTTATTTAATTTTACACTGAGTATTTCAATGCAGTTTGGTCTTCATATTTCAATTGGTTTATTTACATTAATTCAATTGAGCTTAGTCGCCTTTACTAAGCAGTATCTTTCTAATAATTCTACATTAAATTCACTGATTAAATTCATTTAGTAAATTTTCTTGATATGACTTCAATTTATTTAAGTATTTTTTCTTGAGCACAATAGCGAAAAATTTGCAAGACTGCATAAATTCGTTAATTTTTCATGGCAAATTTTCTTTATAAAAATTTTCAAATCAATTTTTCATAGCAGATTTTTCACGTTAATTTTCTTGACTCACAAATATTGTGAGTTTTCCGTTAGTTTCATTACTTTAACTTAGACACACACATCCAAAACAAATTTCAAATTTCTTTTCGTGCTTCTAGTGCCTGTTCTTTACGATTTAATGCTTATTTGAAAAAATGTGCTACACTTCCACAAAAGTATCAGTATTGTATCTTGTAT